AAAAAAAAAAAAAAGAAAGTACTATATATATAAAAAAAGAAGTTACCCATGAAACCCTGCAAATCCATCTCTCTTTAAACGTAAAGGTCAAACATACATACCTGCTTCATCCTTGCAGCAGCTCGATTTGAAAATAGAATAGACCTGTCTGTTTGGAAGCAGGCTGGGCACGTTTGAAGGGCTTGACTATACGAACTTTCGGCTTCTATATAATCTAAGGATTACAAGAAAAAGGAAAGGTCACTACAGTTTTATTCTTGATAACTTATAGGATCTGCGCATATAAGTTTTCCAGCTACAAGACAAAGGTTTCAAATTAAAAGACAGGCACAGTGTATTGTAACTTGGACTTCATCATTTCCCCCTTCCCGCCTCTCATTAAAGAAACAGTTCTTGCTTATGGAAGACTAATGAAGCTTGCTTGGTGAACTAAATTTAGTGAAAATATCTCAACGCTTAAGATTCCAATAGAACGCACTGGGTGTTCAGCTTTCGTGTGGCTATCAATTCAGAAGGACCTTTGATGGGGGTCAGGGAACTGGACAGAAGAAAGAAATTAAAGTACATGAGATTCATCATATGGGATGAAAAAAAAAAATCCATATATATGTTCTCATTAAATACACTTTGTTATCTATCATACAGCCAACCTGGCTAAAAACTAAACAGTTCTATAAAACATTTGGAGACAGTTCATGAATCAACAATATAGAAATTATTATTTGATAAAAGACTTTAAAAGAAAAAAAAAAAAAAGACAATAAATTTATATATTCTGTGCCACACTCAGAATTACTGTCTGAGTACTAAGAGAATTGACTATTCATTCCTTTTTTATGTTTAGAAAATTTAATACTAAAATACAAAGAGATAAGCTTTAAATATTAAAACCATTAGGTCTACTAGAAAAAAAGAAGTGATGACTGTGCTAAACCAGGATATAAGGAAAAAATTTTAAACAAATATAACTAGGAGGTCACAAATTGAAAGGAGACGCTTTCGCTAAAAGAAAAATTCTATCGGCTAGAAACATGCATCTACTCAAGGAAATGAAGACACTAGAAATAATAACTGTGTGAGTAAAATGTTAAGATTTTTGGTTTGTATTTAAAAATAATTATTTAAAATAGAATTATTTTTTAAACTGTAAAAAGAATGAAAACTAACAAAGAAACAAAATACGAGGAGGGGATACGAACATTCCTCGCTTTCTAAAGCATATACACTTTGAGCTGTGACTGGAAGCTGTTTTAAGATGAGACCTGTTGTTCTGAGTCACTTCTGGCTCATAATGACCTTATGTCTAACAGAGAGAAACACTGCCCAGTCCTGTGCCAGCCTTATAAACGTTAGTATGCTTGAACCCACTGCTGTAATCCATCTTGTTGAAGGTTTTCTACTTCACTGACTCTACTTTAACAAGCATGATGGTATTTTCTATTTCGCTCTCTATTTTACCAAACATGATGTACTCTCTTTACTGATAACATGTACAAAATATGTGAGACCAAGTTCACATATGTTCCTTCTAAGGAACATTCTGGCTTTACTTCTTCCTTGACAGATTTGTTCATTCTTTGGGTAGTTCATGGCATAGTCAATATTCTCTGCCAATACCATGATTCAAAGGCAACCACTCTTCAGTTTTCCTCATTTATTCACTGCCCAGCTTTCATGTACAGTCGTTGTATGTTGTCAGGTGCCACTGAGTCAATTCTGACTCATAGTGACTCTGAATAGGGTTTCCTATGAACAGCTGGTGAATTTGAACCACCGACCTTGTGGTTCAAACCGTGTAGTCTGTACTTATCCTACAGTGCCACACTAAGACTCCCTATCCATACAAGGCAATAGAAAATACCTCTTCTTCCCCAAATTATAGAAATGAAACCAACTTACTCCTAAGCATTTGTATGACATGCAGAAATGCATGAGGAACGCCTGTCTACTGAATGCTTCCAAAGAGAAAGGCACATGAAAAAGCAATCTAAGTCCAAGTGAAATATTCCCTAGGCCATACTGGCAGGGTCAGGACTGGTTTTACAGCACTGGAATAAGAAACTGTTGTTGTTGTTGTGAAGTGCCATTGAGTCAATTCCAACTCACAGCGACCCTGTATAGGGTTTCCGAGGAGCAGCTGGTGAGCTTGAACTGCTGACCTTACAGTTGAAATGGCTTTGCAGTCTGGTGCATTAACCCACAGCACCACACCAGGACTCCAAGTAAGGATTAAGGATTCCATTTTACAGCAACACAGCAAATAGCTTTTTCAGCATTCAAAATAGGAGTTTTCCAAAGTAAAAGCTAAAGTGTCCCATCACATATACCTCACTCCTTCATTTCTGAATCAACAGATAGTACGCTACAGGAATAAAAAGCCACCCCTATGATAAGAGACACATGGTAAGTGATCATTGCTGAAAGCATTTTGGTTTAGTGCTTATGAGTTGGGCTGCCAACCTCAAGTTCTACAGTTCGAAACCATCAGCTGTTCCGCAGGAGAAAGAGGAGACTTTCTGCTCCCGTAAAGACTTACAGTCTTGGAAATCCTATACAGGGTGCTATGAGTCGGAATCTACTCCACAGCACACCACCACCACCACCAAACAAAATTCCAAGGTGTGGAGAAACAATAACCGAATTGTTAGCAGTTTAGGTTTGCTGTTTCCAACTTTTCTTTGGAGTTTCTTCGAAGAACTTAATAAAGAATGAGTAGTTGAGTGATCAGACATAATGCTACACAATGCCCTCACCTCCTTTCTTAAACTGTTCGTTTCCCTCTTCCTTTAGTCGAGTGCTCGCTTCTCTTCTTTTCTGAAAGAGATCAGATAATTACATAATGCAGGAAGCATCAAAAGAAGAAAGAAAGCATTAAGAAAAGGTTTTCTTGGGTTATAGGCACAGTGGTGTTGGGGGTCAAGGCACTGCTTTTGGTGGCAGGTGCCATGTCAGGATGGGAAGGTGGCAAGAAGAAGCCCCCGTATCAACCCAAGTTCATAACATAAATAAGCAGCAGCAAGGGTAGTTTTCTTTATATACATGACTAGTTATTCGGCAGAGTCCTGGTGTGGTGGTGTACTATAGTCACTGCACTGCAAGGCCAGCGGTTCAAACTCACCAGGACCTCGTCGAAAATGCTGAGTTGGAATAGACTTGATGGTACTTAACAACAACAATTAATAGGCAGCAGCCTGACTTCTGAGAACCAGACACTGATGTAGGTCAGTTTACCGCTATCTCAAACTGATATACAGGGAAACAGATCACCTGGGGAATCATCAGCTGTGTTCTTGAAGTTAACTCCCAAGCCCTAGGTTTGCTTGGCATGTCCTTTGCTTTCTATGTGCTATCTTTTGTATGGAATGGTAATACAGGTGTTTCACTTTAAAACAGAGCTTTATGGTACTCCTTCTTGTTGCTATTGGGAGCCACTGAATCACAGTGAGCCCACATGATAGAGTAGAACCCTCTCACTGAGTGTTCTGGGCTGTAGTTTTTACAGAAGCAGACCGCCAGGTCTCTCTTCTGGACAGCTGCTGGGTGGATTTGAACTGTCAACTTTTTGGTTAGCAGCCAAGTGCGACCAGCGCTCATTCTTAGTGTTGTTTTATAGGATAAAGTATGAAAAGCTTCAATATGCTGTCTGTCAAATATGGGCTTAATAAATGTTAGCTCTTATTTTTCTGCACAAGTAACTTAGTACTGATTTAGCTATAACTGTTGTGGTTTGTCAGGAAGAAGACATACACCATGTTGTGAGAGTGCATTATGGGAGACTAACCTAACACAGGGCACTATACTTGGCAGAATGCTAGCACAGGAAGAGCTGATGACAGCTAAATAAACAAATCTCTCCATGCTTAGCATCTTCTAACAACTCAAACTCACACCACACACGGCCAACTCGAAGGCAGAGTGACTACTACTCTGCACAGCAACACTGACACGTGATGAGTGTCCCTGTGTGTCTTCAGCCATGACATGTTTGTTTTCAACATAGCTGGCACAAGCAGAATTGGCAGGAGTGCCTACCTGCCTGCCACTTTTGCTTGCTTGCTTTCTTTTTAAACAGAGAACTCCCCCCAATTCTCTCCCTTCATTCTTGAAACTTCTGACCAAAAAAACACACACACAAACCACTCCAGAGTGTGGAAATACAGTTAGCAGAGAATTATACACACAAACGAAACCTGGAACCTAAGCAATTTGCACTCTCAAAATTTGTTTTTGTGGAGTGTTGTGGAGTCGGTTCCGACTCATAACAACCCTGTATAGGGTTTGCGAGGAGTGCCTGGTGGATATAATCCGTTGACCTTGTGGGTCAAACCCACATTGCAGCGGAGTGCTCATCAAATAGCAAGCACCACACGTGGACCAAAGTAAAAATACTATGTCTCTGTAGAATACTGGTGAATATACTACTGATGAAACCAGAGTGCTTGCCAAATGCCTGATTGCTCTACTATGGATAAAAACAGCACTTGGCAAATCTCAATTTAAAAAAACACAAACAAGTTATAAGTTGTATCGAAATTTTCGTGTCTAAGGAGTCGCTATGAGTGGGAACTGACTCTGTGGCACTTAACAACAGCAACTATGTGCTAGACAAAGAGAAGATGCAGCAATACTTCCTCTCAAGATACACATAACTGAGGAAGGATTATTTTAAAAATACAGAATAAATAAAATGGGAATATGGGGATAAAAATATAACAGTGTAACTATGTTGACCTAGCACTACACCTGGAGTCTTGGTATGGCACTATAGGATAAGCACTGGACTGCTAATCATCAGGTTGGCAGTTCAAACTTACCATTTGTTCCTTAGAAACCCTATGCAGGGTTGCTATGAATCGGAATTGACTCGCCTGCATTTAACAGCAACTTGGGAGGAGTCCTGGTGTGATGCTTTAGGATAAACACTACACTGCTAACTGCAAGTTGCCTATTCAAACCCACCAGTTGCTCCTCAGAAACCTATTTCAAGTCATTATGAGTTTGAACTGACTCGATAGCACTTAATAACAATCTAGGAGGAAGAAGCCCTGTTGACCCCATGGTTAAAGTGCCTGGCTGTTAACCAAAGCTGCTCCATGGGGGAAAATGTGGCAGTCTGCTTCCATAAAGGTTACAGTCTTGGAAACCCTACGGAGTTCTACTCTGTCCTATAGTACTGCCATGAGTGAACTCGACTTCATGGAAATGGGGTTGGTTTTGGGTGTACCTTGGAAGAAGGTGGCATCCTGGTGTGGTGCTGTAGGATAAGCAATGGACTGCAAGTTCAATGTGAACCTCAATGTTAGCAGTTCAAACTCACTAGCCGCTCCTTGGAAACCCCATACAGGGACAACACTATGAGTTGGAACCAACTCAACAGCACTTAACAACAACAGGAAGAAGGTGCTGGGATTATAACTGGCCAGGATTCATGATGCAAGCAAAAAAGTCTGCCTAATAAAAACAAAACAAAAAGATAGAGGAAGGGAGACTTATTGGAAAGATATTGGCGACTCACAAATCAATACAGGCTTAAAAAGCAGGTTTACAAATTAAGTAGACTTCAAGTGAGCATTGTTAAGTCAAGAAGCAAAAAGCTAAACATTCTTTAGTGAAAGAGCCTGGCCGGGTCAGGGATGCACATGGAGCAAATACATTCTAACCATTTTTCTTGACTCACTCGATCCAGATTCAAAGGCTTGGTTGAAAGCATGCAATGAGCCAAGTCTAGCTCACATGCCTTGGCTGACAAGGGATGGAATGAGGAACATGGGGTACTGCCACTCAACAAGATTACAACACTGTGGACTGTTACTCCAAATAGTACACACAGGGAAATTAGATGCTGAAGAACAGAGATTACCCAGTTAACAAATCTAGTTATCAGTTATTTAAAATTCAGAAATGCCTTACAGAAAGGCAGTTCAACAAGTTAGTAGCTCTCTAAGAATATTTCCTTTCCTCTGTTTTAACTCTAGTCTGAAGCTACTTTCTGACATATAATCTAGTCTCCAGAGCTACCCCAGCAGGAAGGCTGTATGAATACAGATAAAGTCACACAGACTGCCAGCCAGAGTAGGCGCTTTGGAATTTCATGTTTTTTTGTGTTTTTTTTTTTTTAAGAGTCTAATCATTCTTTAAGGAGCTCTGGTAGCGTAGTGGTTACGAATCGGGATGCGAGCCGCAAGGTCAGCAGTTTGAAACTACCAGCTGCTTCACGGGAGAAGGATGAGGTTTTCTGCTCCTGTAAAGATTTCCAGCCTTGGAAACCCTATGCAGGGTCGCTATAAGTCGGAACCGACTCCACGGCACATAACCACAACAACAATCATTCTTGGGTAATAATATCAAGTTTTGACTGGGCAAAGCATAAACGCTGCAAGAAATTACTGAGAAGTCAGTCAGTTAACAGTTCAGTGTCTTCATAATAAAGCGGATTTAAAGTTGAGCTAGCAAGAAAAAAGGTCCAAAACCAATTTCTGAGGCCAATTACTTTCAAGAAGATATTTTATTTTTTGGCTGATAAATCATAATCCAGTGATCCATTAACCAATAAACAATGGAAAAGAGCTGTTGTTTCCCTCTCCACAGATTGTATAAATTGAGGATGAATGTAATTATCAATATCATGCTGAACATCTCCTTGGAAACAGCTAAAAATAGCACTTGGAGGAGAGCACTGTACTCTCTCAGCTGTGCCAAGAGACTGACTTGATCCCAGTACAAAGATGTAGGTTTATTTGGCTGCCTGAATACATTATCATACTCCAACAGATGACACGCGTACTGCGTATGTTCCTGAGATCCAAGGACAAACTCTATAAATGGTGCCAGGTCTTCCTTTCACATGCTATGTATGTGCCGGAGTGTTCACACATAAATGAGCTGGTAGTGCTGATGTTCTGCAACACTATCAGGGGCATATCCTTCCAGGCTCTGTTCTTATGAACAGAGCTTCTAATGTGGCTAGCAGCTTCCCAATGCCTTTTACCACATTTCAGAGAGGCTCATGGGGAGACATCTGCTTGGAGATATTTTTGTAGGAAAAAGAACCAAATAATTTTTACAGGACTTATGACTCAGTACTTAAAGAAATCTGCTGCCTTCCCATCACTGAAAACTCAGAGTGAAATAGTGACATTATTCTGCACTGGAAAGCATCAAAAGCACTTGCCAAGGAAAATCCCAAACAGATAAGACCCTCGGTGAGTGGAGTTTATTTCAATAGCTCATTGCTGAAACTGCAAAGTTCTCCATTCGGTATTCCAAATTCAATACAACCTACAGCAGTGTAGCACTTCACTGTTTAAGAACAGTTATTATGCAGTCAATTCATAGCTATAGATAAGTATACTGGATCTAAGTGGATTAAATATATCAGTCGAGAGAGAGAGCAGAAAGGAGATGAAAACAGGATGCTTCAATATACTGTCTATAAGAGACACAGCAAAAAGATGGAGCCAGCCTAAATGCCCATCAACAGAAGAATGGTTAAACAAATTTTGGTGCATATACACAATTGAAGACTATGCAACACTGAAGAATAATGATGAATATGTGAAGCACGTCATAACCTAGATGAACTAGGAGGACATTATGTTGAATGAAATTAGTCAATCACAAAAGAACAAATATTGTATAAGACCAATGCTGTAAAAACTTAAGAAAAAGTTTTCTTGATGAAGGAAACAATCTATGAAGGTTATGAGGGAAGGGGGAAGAGAAAATTCATGGGCTAGAGGGTGGACACACGTTAACATGGGTGACAGGGTAGGCAATATACAACAAAAGGGAAGTTAGCAGAGGAAAGATGAAGG